AGTATCAATAGAGAAAAATCACAAAAGCAAATATTGGTTCTTTAAATGACCAATAAAATCAATTAAGTCTTCAGTAAGGCTAAAAAAAAGTACAAAGTATTAATACAAAAAATGATGGGGGGGGGGCGGCAAGTGGCGTGGCGGTTAAGGGTGCTGGTCTCCCACATGTCCAGCTGCGGTTTGAGTCCCGGACCTGATGATCTGCTTTCTCACTTTCTCTCTCTCTCTCTCCCTTTGTCCCTCTCTGGTCAAATTAAAATACACAAAAAAATAAAATGTAAAAAAAATATATTTTTTTTTGGAGAGGTTTTTTCGCTATAGGGCGCGTGCACTCGCCAGACAGAGAGAGACAGAAAGCGAGAAATCACTCCCTGGGGGGATAGCCACACCGCAATCCCTTCTCCATTCTCCTCTTGGGATCTTGGGCATGCACGGACATGCGCCCGGTGTCAGTTTTAAGTCACCGGGTCCAGGACACGAACTGCAGTTGACTACGTGGGAGTCCAGCGACATAGCCATTACGCTAACTGCTGGTCCCCTAAAAAATAATTTTTAAAATATGATGGAGGAGACATTAGTATAGATCCCATGGAAAAGATAATAAAGATAACAAAATGGTGGAAGGGACATTTATAGATCCCATTGAAAAGATAATAATAATGGACAACTTTAAGTCCACCAATTCGATAAACTAGAGGAAAAGGGCCAATTCTTTGAAAGACAGCTGGCAAAAAAAAAAAAAAAAAAAAAACACAAAAAGTAGACAATCCAAAGGACTATATCGATTTAAAAAATTAATAACCTTCCAAGAAAGCTCTAGGCCTGGACGGGTTTACTGGTGAATTTTACCAAATATTTAAGGAAGAAATCATGCCCATTTTTGACCAGCTAGGTAGCATCGTGCTTAGGACAGCTGGATCCCACATGTCAAGTCTTAGATCCAGTGGCTTGAAAAACAAACTGAGCACATATGCATGCATGCCCCCAATCCTGAGAGAAAAACAGAGAAGGGACTGTGGTGTGCCTATCCACACTAGGGAGTAATTTCTCACTCCTACTCCTTTCTCCTACTCCCTACTCAAGTGAGCATAGACACTCTATTAAAAAAAAATTATGCCAGGACCAGCAGTGGGCACAATGGCTATGTCACTGGACTCCCATGTAGTTGACCACGGTTCGAGTCCCGGACCCAGAGGTTTAAACTCACGCCGGGCACGTGTGCATGGGTGCCCATCCCCCTTGGAGGGGGGGTGATTTCTTGCTTTCTCTCTCTCTATCTCTCTGTCTTTTTGGCGAGCATACATGCCCTATAGCAAAAAATCTCTCCCCCCCAAAAAAAAATTATGCCAATTTGCTAGTCTTCTAGAAGACAGGAGAAGAAATATTGTTATATTTTGAAGTCAGCTTTATCCTAATACCAAAACTAGACTAGGTCATCACAAGAAACAAAAACTACAAACCAATATTTTCAAAGAACACAGATGCAAAAATCCTCAGCAAAATATTAGCAAATATAATTCAACAATGTATAAAAAGAATACACCATGACTAAAAGCTGGTAGTGAAATCCATCACACCAATAGGCTAAAAAAGAAAATCACATCATCATATCAACAGATGGAGAAAGCAGGATTAACCCCAGAGCCTAGCAGTTAAAGAAGTCAAATCTCTCAGATAGTTGACTGTGGTCTAAATCTCAGTTCCTGTAGTTTGAAAAACATGCTATCCTGGGTACATGTGAGTTCCTGCCCCAAATCCCAACAGAGTAGAGACATAGAAAAGGATTTGCAGTATGACTATGCCCCATTGGGGAGTGTTTTCTCCCTCTCCCTCTGTCTCGCTGGAAATAGCATGTGCCCTATAGCAATTACTTTAAAAATAAGATTTACAGGGCCAACCGGCGGTGCAGGCGGTGTGGCGGTGAAGGTGGCTGGATCACATGTGGCTGACCACAAGTCCTAGACCTGATGACTTGAGAAAAATGAAGAAGAGGAAATTGTGGGATGTGATGATCATCCCCAATGGGAAATATTTTTCACTTTCTTTTTTCTGTTTGTCTAGCAAGCAATGCGCCCTCTGGCGAATTAAAAAAAAAAAAAGATAAAGACTTAGAAAAGGGGGACTAGCAGTTAGCATAATGGCTATGTCGCTGGACTCCCATGTAGTCGACCGCAGTTCGAGTCCCGGACCCGGCAGTTTAAACTCACACTGGGCGCGTGTGCGTGCGTGCCTAAGATCCTGAAGGGAGAATGAAGAAGGGATTACAGCGTGGCCATCCCCCCGTGGGGTGATTTCTTGCTTCTCTCTCTCTGTCTCTGTCTTTCTGGCGAACACACGTGCCCTATAGCAAAAACCTCTCCAAAAAAAAAATGATTTAGAAAAGGCATTGGACAATATCTGACATCTATTCATAATAAAACATAAATCTCAGCAAATTAGGAACACAGGGATATTTCCTCAATTAGATAAAGAACATCTGCAAACAACAACAACAACAACAACAAAAAACTTATTAGTGATGAGAAAACAAACACTTTCCCACTGTAATCAGGAACAAGGCAAGGATGAATAAACAGTATACTGATTGGAAAGTAAGAAATAAAACTGACTTTATTAGCAGATGACATGATTATCTACACAGAAAATCCAAAAGAAGAGATAAAAAAAACTGCTTTAAGAAATGATGAACAACTGGGAACCAGCAGTTAGCTATGTCGCTGGACTCCCACATAGTCGACCGCAGTTCGTGTCCCAGACCCGGTGACTAAAAACTCACGCCAGGCGTGTGTGTGTGCATGCCCAAGATCCTGAGAGGAAAATGGAGGAGAAAAGATTGCGGTGTGACCATCCCCCCTGGGGGGTGATTTCTCGCTTTCTGTCTCTATGTCTCTCTTTGTCTGTCTGGCGAGTGCACGCACCCTATAGCGAAAACCTCTCCAAAAAAAAAAAAAAAAATGATGAACAATTATACCAAGGATCATAGGACAGACTAGAGAGCCTGGAAATAGACTCACATAATGTACTCAATTGATTTTAGACGAAGTTGAAAAACTAATACAACAGTACAAAAAGCCTTTTTTTGGGGAGAGGTTTTTGCTATAGGGCGCGTGCACAGAGAGACAGATAGATAGAAAACGAGAAATCACCTCCCAGGGGGAGAGGGCCACACTGCAATCCCTTATCCTCCATTCTCCTCTGGGGATCTTGGGCATGCACACACGCACACACACCTGCCCGGTGTGAGTTTAAGCCACTGGGTCTGGGACTCAAATTGCAGTCAACTACATGGGAGTCCAGTGACATAAACATTACGCCAACTGCTGATCCCCAAAAAGCCTTTTAAATAAATAGTTTGAACACCTGGACATCCACATGCAAATATATGAATCTCGATGAAGACCTTACACCCTCAAGACAAATCAACTCAAATAAATCACAAATGTAAATGTAAAAATATGTTCTATAATGCTCCTACGTGATAATATAGGAGAAAAATCTATTGTACATGACCTTGGGTTAGGCAATGACTTTTTAGATCCAACACCAAAGACAGAAACTATGAGAGTAAGAATCAATAACCTGAACTTCATTAATATTAAAAAATTGGGGGAGCTAGGGTCCAGTAGGTGGCAAGGTCAACTGTGGTTCAAGTCCTAGACCCGGTGGCTTGAAAATCATACTGGGCACTTGTGTGTGCACGTCCCAAGTTCTGGGAGGAGACTGAAAGAGAAGGGAATATGGCATGGCCATCCCTTCTGAGGGTTGATTTCTCACTTTCCGTCTCTCTCTAGTGAGTGCATATTGTGCTCTATGGCAAAAATCGAAAACTTTCTGAATCTGGACAGTGAGTGGCATGGCAACAAAATGTAATGCTTTGTTAGGCAATCCCACAGAAAGTTTCTGATTCAGGTGTAGAGACCACCCTGATTATGCCAGGCAAATATGCCCATTTCTCAGGGCTGTGTAAAGGCTGGTGGAGTGTGGTATTGGAATCCTGTTAGGATGCTGTCTCTCTCTTTCTCTCTCCTCTGCACCCGTCTCTCCATGAACATAAACATACTTAAAAACATTTTTTTCTGCTTTGTGAATGACACTGTAAAGACGATGAAAAGACAGCTACAGGCTGGGAATAAATACTTGTTTGAGTTTTTTGTAAGTTTGCTATAGGATGTGTGCACTTGCTGGAGACAGAGAAAGAGGTAAAAGTGAGAAATCAACCTCCAAAGGGATAGCCTGTAATCCCTGCTCCTCCATTCTCGTCTTGCAGGACTTTGGGCATGCACACACACACACACACACACACACCTGGGATTTTCTTCCTTCCTTTCTTTTTTTTTTTTAAGAGATTTTTGCTACAGTGCATATGCACTCGCCAGAGAGAAAGAGAGACAGGTTGTTTTCTTTCACCTACTAATATGTCTTTAAGTTTCCTCTGTCTTTTCATGGATCATTTCTTTTTTAGTCCTGAATAATTGTAAGGATCTGCCAAAGATTATCAATACTAAAGTATGTATGTATGTATGTATGTATGTATGTATGTATGTATTTAAATTCTGATCAGAGAGGGACAGAGTAAGAGTACTATCTGACCAAGGAGGCTAGTCAAAATGTCATATGATAACCACTCCCATCCCAAAAAAGCTGAATTTCTGATCATCACAATAGGTGACCTCTGCTGTGAAGTTAGAGGGTAGGTATATAAATATATTTATATGCCTTTATCTTTTTAAAGTTTTAAAATGCAAATGTTAACACATGTGCATTATAATGTTAGCAATGAGCACCAAAAGTTTAAAATCTCAATCTTTAAAATATACATGGGTATTAAAACATTACCTTCAATTTTAATAATTAAGCCTGAGGTTGCTACCTAAAAGTACAAAATCATGAATATTCCTGTGACTATAGTAAATTACCACAACATACTGAGATATACTGGCTATTTTACAGTTTTGATATAAAAAAAATCTTCAGAAAAATTTGTAATTGAAGTTTCTTACCTCATAAATGTTGGGGTGCCACATTTTGGTCAAGAATCTGAAGGTAGGTGGTGAATATGGGTAGTCAATAGGAAATTTAATATGCGCCTGGAAAGGGAAAAAAAAATGTAATCCTAATAAATGAGAATACTTATATGCATTTGCCTAACAATTCACTTATTACACCCAAGGAAAAAAGCTCCTTTTTCTAGAATAGACTCTTGAGATTAAAGTAGATCATGCATACATTTTTAACCACAGTGACAGGATTACTAGCATGTTCTTACACTGCCCAGCCTTCAAATATTTATAAAAACCTGTGTTAAATCATCAAAATGCAGAGCTCTATCTTTTTTTTTTTTTTTTTTTTTGAGAGAGATTTTTACTACAGGGCATGTGTACTCACCAGAGAGACAGAAAGTAAGAAATAATCAGGGAGGAAGGGGTCACCAGAGAGACAGAAAGTAAGAAATAATCATAGAGTAAGGGGCACACCACTATCCCTTCTTTTCCATTCTCCTTTTGGAATTTTGGGCATGCAAGCACACACATCCGGCATGAATTTTAAGCTGCTGAGTCCAGAACTCAAACTGTGGTTTACTACATGGGTGTCAAGCGATGTAACCATTATACCATTGGGTCCCAGAGCTCTATGATTTTTAACTTAACTTGCTTCACTAAATGCCTATTATTGCAATATATTTTTATAACAATGATATTTCTGAAAGACTTATTTTATTATTTTTTTTAACTTGTTATAGTCATCAGAAAGACAGTAGGTGGAGAGTGAGAAAGCAAGCCACTAGGTCCAGGACTCAAACTGTGGTCAGCTACATGGGAGTCCACCCTAACCACCATGCTACCTGCTGGCCTCGTAATAAGAAATATTAATATAACCTTGAGAAGAGTAGAACAAATATAACATTTTCCTTTTTATTCCAAAATTGTAACCATCATCCTATCACCCCAAATAAATGCTAACATTTTGATGTAGCTCCTTTCAGTGGTTTTTCTGTTCACATATATGCTTATGTACTTACAAAACTTAAGATAGATTTTTGCTATAGGGCGCATGTGCTTGCCAGAGAGACAGAGAAACAGAAAGTTAAAAAATCACCCATCATGGGGGACAGCCATGCTATAATCCTATCTCATCCATTCTCCTCCTGGGATCTTGGGGACACATGCACATGCACCTGGTGTGAGTTTCAAGCCTCCAGGTCCAGGACTGAAACTGTGATTGACTATGTGGGAATCCAGCAACATAAGCATTACGCCATCTGTTGGTCCTGTTACTTACAAAACTTAATTTTAAAAATTTGAGGTCCAGGCCAGATGGTGGTGTGGTGGTTAAGGAGGCTGGATTCCACATAGTACAGTTTGAGTCCTAGATCCGTCACAGCATGCAATTCTGTTCAAGTCTCTCAATAAATAAACTTTAAAAATTGTTGGGACCAGCAGATGGCGTAATGGTTACACTGCTGGAAACCCATATAGTTGGCCACAGTCAAGTCTCAGACCTCACTCTGAGTGTGCGTGCATGCCTGTGTGTGTGCGTGTGTGTTCAAAATTCCAAGGGGAGAACAGAGGAGAAGATACTGCAGCATGGCCATCCCCCTTAGGGGGATGATTTCTCACTTTCTGTCTCTCTAGTAAGTGCACATGCTCTATGGCAAAAATCTCTTTTAAAAAATTAATATATTTTGTTCTCTGTTTTTTCCAATTATATCAGTATCATGAACATTTGACATCATGAAATATTCTCTACATTTGTGATTGTTAGTATCTCCATAATATATCATATATGTATGTAAAGATTGATCATTAAAAAACATATTTTGGGGCATCTGGGTTTTTACCTCACTCTTTTGCTATTATCAATACTGCCATAGTCAATGTTCTTGGCAGTATCCATAATTCAAAGATGAAGGAATCAAGGAAAAGGATCCTCTAAAGTTCTCTCTTCCATAAAAGTAAAGAGAAAACTGTCAAAAAGTATAAAGATCAACTTTTTCAGAGTTCTAAAAAATAACCAAAGGTCACAACAATTCAAAGAGCCTATACTCAAGAAAACTGGCCAAATCTCAGTAAGATCAGCGACCTTTGTGGTTTTTAACTTACCCCAGTCCAATCTACTACTCTGCAGTAACCTTGAAACAAATAGCTCACATTCAAAGTGAAGACCAGTAACCTAGGCAGGCACTAGTGGGGACAGAAAGTCTCAGGACTTCTTCAAAGCAATACTATCAGGGAAATGTCATTATTTCATCTTTCTGGTGGTTCCCTAGCAGACCCCACTTGCAAGACTATCTGTGTTTGATCTGATTTGGAGGATGGCCATTTTGTGTAAACATTCTTCTACCTGGCAGCATTTGTTGAAAACAATGAGAGCTACTGTTTAACCTCAAAAGAAAAGGCTTAGGAACCAGCAGTTAGTGTAATGGCTATGTCGCTGGACTCCCACGTAGTCGACCGCGGTTCGCATCTCGGACCCGGTGGCTTAAAACTCACGCCGGGCGCGTGTGCGTGTGTGCGTGCCCAAGATCCCGAGAGGAGAATGGAGGAGAAGGGATTGCAGCGTGACCATCCCCTCTGGGGGGTGATTTCTCGCTTTCTGTCTCTAATGTCTCTCTCTGTCTGTCTGGCGAGCGCACGCGCCCTATAGTGAAAATCTCTCCAAAAAAAAAAAAGAAAAGGCTTGGGTATAGAAGGTCTCTTAGGACTTTGAAAAGCTCTGACAAATTCCAATGAATCTAGAACACTATGCCAATGTGCACATGATAGAGGTTATGTGCATTCTCAAGAACGATCTCAGAAGGCTCTAAGTTCACACTTCTGACATAAAGTGAGAATATGTGAAGCAGGAAATAAAGTCTAAGACAATATTTGCAACTGCCTAACTGAATGTTAAGGCATTCCCTAATATGCACACCAAAAGCCCATGTGACTCATTGCTTCCAGGAAACAAATGAAATCTCTAACCAATCATTAGTTGGCCACTAAGCTAATTGATTCGCTGGCCACATATAGAATACAGATGTTACAAAATTAGGTAGGAAAAGTAACTAAGCAAGCAAACAACAATTGTGACTAACAGTAATAACAAAAACGAGAAGAATCTGATTTCCACTTTTTGCTATAGTTATAAATATAAATAACCAGTCCTCAATAAAATATTACAAGACATGCAAAAAACAAATATGGTCAATACATGGTAGAGGAAGCAATCAATTAGGCACTGGAAGCTCAGATGTTGAACTACTAAAAGACTTTCAATTGGCTATTTTAAACATTTCAAAAGAAAACCTTGGCTGTAGAACTAGAGGAAAGCCTGAGGACAGTGTGTCACCTAACAAAAAAGATCAAGGGACCAGCAGTTAGCAAAATGGCTATGTCGCTGGACTCCCATGTAGTCAACCGCAGTTCGAGTCCTGGCCCCAGCAGCTAAAACTCATGCCGGGCGTGTGTGCATGTGTGCCCAAGATCCGGAGAGGAGAATGGAGGAGAAGGGATTGTGGTGTGGCCATCTCCCCTGGGGGGTGACTTCTACCTTTCTGTCTCTCTTTCTCTCTCTGTCTGTCTGGCGAGTGCACACACCCTATGGCAAAAACCTCTAAGAAAGAAAGAAAGAAAAGAAAGAAAAGAAAAGAAAGAAAGAAAAGAAAGAAAGAAAAGAAAGAAAAGAAAGAAAGAAAGAAAAGAAAAGAAAGAAAGAAAAGAAAGAAAGAAAGAAAGAAAGCAAGCAAGCAAGCAAGCAAGATGAATGAAGACATTCCCAGGCAAACAAAAGCAAAGAGAATCTGTGACTAGCAGACCTACTTAACAGGGATTCCGTTAGGATGAAATAAAAGAAAATTAGACAAACAAAACAGCATGAAGAAAAGAATACAAAAATAATTACACAGGTAAACAGAATTTACAAAATACAAATGTGGGACCAGCAGGTGACGTGGTGATTAAGGTGCTGGACTCCGACATGGCAACTGTAGTTCGAGTCCCTGATCCAGTTGAAAATCACTCCAGGTACTTGAGTGTGCATGCCCAAAATCCCATGAGGAGAAGGGAGAAGGACATGCAGCATAGGCATCTCCCCCAGGGGTAATTTCTCACTTTCCCTCTCTCTCTGTATCTCCCTCTCTCTCCTCTCTGGCAAGCGCACATATACTATGACAAACATACATATATAAACACACACACATTTGTGTATATATAAATGTACTTTTTCATACTTTTTATGTTATCTGATTAAAAAATTATGAAGCTGTGTTTATGAATACATAATATATAGTGATACAGTTTGTATGACAATAATAGAACAAAGTAAGGGAGAAGACACAGAGTTACACAGAAACAACATTCCATATACTGTTAACTTGGACCAGCAGATGGCATAGTGGTTACATTGCTGGACTCCCACATGGTCAACTACGGTTTGAGTCCCAGACCTAGCAGCTTAAAATGCACATCGGCTAAGTATACATGTATGCCCAAAATCCCAAGAGGAGACTGGAAGAGAAGGAATTGCAGTGTGGCCATCCCGATCCCTGGAGGGTGATTTCTTGCTTTCTGTCTCTCTTTTGAGCACACGCGCTCTATAGTAAAAATCTCTCTAAAAATTTAAGTTAATTTGAACTAGGTAAGTTAAGATGTTGGTTCATTCCCAGAGTAACCACTAAGAAATTAACTCAAGGGCATTAGGAGTGGTTAAGGTGGCAGGATTCCTTATACCTAACTGTACAGTTTGAGTCCTAGATCCAGTGGCTTGAAAAATCATGCCAGGGAGCTGGCAGGTGACACGGTAGTTAAGGAGTGGACTCCCACATGGCAGATTGCAATTCAAAACCCAGACTTGGTGGCTTGCATTCTCACTTTCCCTCTTTTTCTGTTCAACTTTTTTAAATAATAAATTAAATAGGAACCAGCAGTTAACATAATGGCTATGTCGCTGGACTCCCATGTAGTCGACCGCGGTTTGAGTCCCGGACCCGGTGGCTTAAAACACGCCAGGCGTGAGTGCGTGTGTGCCCAAGATCCTGAGAGGAGAATGGAGAAGGGGAGATTGCGGCGTGGCCATCCACCCTGGGGGGTGATTTCTTGCTTTCTGTCTC